ATGTTTCTCTCTCATTGATGTTTCTAACTCTATATCCTTCTCTCTTCCTCTCTGTAAAAAATTAATAAAATATATTTTTAAAAAAAGGAAGATATAGAAACACTGATGAGAACTAAAAAAATAGAAACATCCATCAGCTGCCTCCTGCACGCCTACTACCGGGGACTGAGCCTGCCACGAGTGCCCTGACAGGGGATCCAACTGGCGACCTCTTGGTACCTGGGTGGATGCTCAACGGGGCTCTTATGCATTTTCAATGCAAGCATTATTCTCTCCCGCTCACCTGTACTTCCCCTGCACAAATCCCGGTTTTAGGCCTGCTCACACACCCTCATGTTCCCTGCGAGGAATCCTTCATTCCCTTCCCACAACCACCCTGTTCCAACAGGTTTTCTTGAACAATGATCCCCCTGTCCGCCTGCATTTACCCAATTCGTACAAAGAGTTTATGTTCCCTTTTCAGCTCAAGCATGCCCTGCAATTCAACTTCCCCGTTGCAACCCTTTCGATGCGTTCACTCCCTTGCACCCACAGGAATTCCATTCTTCTCCTGGATTTCTTGCCCCACTTTCACTAATTACTTTTATTCTCTCTACAAATGCATTCTGAGCTCTTTCCCCGGGGCCGGGCCCTGATTTAGCACTGTCCTCCCCGGGAGGAACACCACGATTGCACTCAACACAGTCTCCAAACTCGGGATGCAAATCTGCGCACCCTTGTGCCCCACACCTTCGTGCCCCACACCTTCTGTGCCATTGCTCACACCCAACACCTGGGGGCCCATCCCAACCCCCGCAGGGCACCCCCTCATGCAGCTGTTGCTCAAACGCTGGCCCTCCAAAAGCTGTGCTGGGGCCGGTCCTAGGGTCCCAGGGCCCCAGGGTCCCGGGGAGGGGGCGGGGCAGCGAAGGCCCACGGGGTGGGGGAGGGGAGGCGCGAGGGGGAAGCCCGGGGTAGGTGAGGGGTTGTGGGGGGTGGGGAGCGGGGATGTCCAGCGCAAGAAAGAGGGAGGTGGAACAGGGAGGGGCGGGGTCGTGCTCGCACCCTCAGCCCACAGTTACCACAGTCTCGAGCTGGGTCACCCTCAGGAGGAGGCAAAAGGCCGCGGTGAGGAAGTGACCTAAGGAACGGCAGCGCCCGCTCCTGTTGTTTCCCCGCCCCTCCGCAGAAGAGCCAATGAGCTTCTTGTTGCGAGGCAAGCGGCCAATGAGCTTCAAGATTCTTCGAGAATGGCCTGCCCCTGCTCTGCCTGCGGGCTAGCAAGTCAGCCAATAGCGCTTCGAGTTGAGGCTAACGCCCATTTCCCCTCTCCCAGTGTCTTGCCTTTCCAGATTGTTCTTAGGCTGTGGGGGGAGGTGGCCCGCGGGGCGCAGAATTAGGCTTCCAGGACAAGGCTGCCCATCCCCCCACCCCCTTCCTGCCTTTCCCCCTTCTAACCCTCCCCTCTAAAAGCTAGCGCAGACCCGCCCCGCTGGCAAGCGTTGACCGGATTGGTTTGCGCAGGCGCGGCCTTGGCATCAGTCTGTTACTGCGTCGCCACGCGCATGTGCATGTTCTGGGCCTCAACGCTCAGCTGCTTCCCTTCGCTGTGTGGACGCAACTGTTTCCTCACTTTTCTCCGGGCGCCCCAGCTCCCCATCGGACCTACCCTGTGATTCGTTTCCTTTCCCAGTCTCCCCTCGGTGGCGCCCGTTTCCTGTGTCTTTTCCTGTCCGTGTTGGTGCTGATTTGCCCAACCTGGTTTTCCTGTTCTCTCGGAGTCCCTCGGCTTGTCCGGGGCTCTCATCTTCGGACTTCTTCCCTCCAACGCCTCCTTCCTAACAGCCCGGCCCTGCACGTCCCCCGCCCCCGCTGCCGCCCACTGCAGTGTGTCTGTTTTTTGGCCCGGTCCACCGTTTGTGTGCATCTGCCCCCCAGATTTCCCTCGCTGCTCCTCCCTGGACTTGTTGCCTTTTCTGTGTGTCCCTATTGAACCCATCCCACCCTTTCCCTTCCCATCCTTCGTGTGCTGTCCACTGTTCTCTGTGTGCTCCTTCCGGTCCCCTTGCCCCTGAGACCCTGGTCCTTGTGCTCCTCCAGCCGCCACTTAAACCCTTTTTTCCTGGAGAATTTAATTCTGTATTTATTTATTTATTTATTTATTTATTTATTTATTTATTTATTTATTTATTTACTGGTTGTGTCCCCGCTTTTGCTCAGGTGGTTGACTCCTGCCCCCTTTTGCATCCCAGGCTGGGGTGTGCTGTCTCCTCTGATTGGATCAACCTCTTTGTGCGATCCTTTGTCAGCCTTGATTTCTCATCCCCGTGTCCCTGTTCTGCTGGTCATAGTCCTCTTACTTGCCAGGCTTTCTGGGATACAGAGCCTGTGTGTCAGATATTCTGGACAGAAGAGTGTGACAGTCGGTGACCTCTAGCTGGACTGCTGTGCAGGGGAGCAGTACCGGATAAAGCAGATAAAGCGGGAAAGGTGGTTTGGGGCCCACCTAGGGCCGTGGGGTGGGGGTGGGGTGAATGGGAGACTTGAAAGCCAGCTGAAGAGGTTGACCTTGATCCTTCAGGTAAAAGAAGGGGGGGGGGGAGGGGGAAGCCACGTATAGAGAGCTTAGCACTTACCTGGCACTTTATGTTAATAAGATGCATTATAATCCACTTTATAAACATGATAAAAATTGCACCCTTGAGATATATTATAATGCACTTTGTAAATGTGTTCAACAAATTGCACAAGGTTGCACAGCTAAGTAGAGGGTGAAGATTCCAACATTGGTCTCTGGAATATGTACAGCCTACATTGTCTTAGTTATTTTCGGTAATCCCCATTCCTTAGCCCTTCCTTAGGCACTCATTTCAGCTGGCTAATGCATATCTTGTGGTTTGTGTGTGTGCTTGTAACAGGTGCAGCATTTTACTTGCATGAGTAAGTAATTTGACATATGCAAGGGATAATTGTATTCTTTACTATTTAACATAATTTGCACTGTGCTTTTATGGTCCATCCATGTACATGTTATGCATACATGTAATTTGTTCCTTCTAACTGCTGGCTGACATTCCATGGTGTGCAGCCTCTGTATTGAGTGTTCACTAGGTCTCCGGGAAGGATGTCCACCTTGCCTTCAACTTACTGCCACCTCATACTTGTTCCCTTGTAGATGAAGGTGGAAATCTCTCTTATGTGTGCCTAGGTTATACCAGAAATGGGTATTTGTAAACCTAATTTAACTAATTATTGCCAGAGTCCTCCCCGCAATGGTGCTTTGGGCCTGAGACACTGATCAGAATTCTTCTCTCTTCCTCAGGGTCCAGAAGAGTTCAAGTTGAGTTCAAGTATCTCTTCACATGTCTTTTGCTTTGCTCCTCTGAGAATTGTCTCTGTATGTGCTTGGGCCATTATTTGACTGGGTTGCTCTTTTTTTCTTGTCAATTTCCTGGAGTTCTTTAATAATTGTCATTGGTTTAAGACACTGCATTAACTCTTCTATGCCCATCCTGGAGACTCATATTATTTTAGAAATTTATCTACTTGATTTGGGTATTTCCATTTATAAATGTAGAGTTATTAATACTTTTATTATTTTTAAAACATCTGATGCCTGCTACTTCCCATTTAAAAAAATATATTTTGTTGATTTTTTACAGCGAGGAAGGGAGAGAGATAGAGAGCTAGAAACGTCGATGAGAGAGAAACATCGACCAGCTGCCTCTTGCACACCCCCTACCGGGGCTGTGCCCGCAACCAATGTACATGCCCTTGACTGGAATCGAACCTGAGACCTTTCAGTCCGCAGACTGACGCTCTACACTGAGCCAAACCAGCTTTGGCATACTTCCCATTTTTCATTCTGCATTTTATTTGCATCTTCTCTTTTTCTCTTAATTAGATTTGCTAGTGAATTATCTTACTTTGTCAAGGAATGAATGTTAGTTTTTTTGTAATGATTTATTGTTGTTTTCTATGTTGTTGATTTATACTGTCTTCATTTCAATAATTTGGGGCGTGCTTTATTGCTTTTTATATAACTTCTTGAGTTAAATCATGAATTTAAAAAAACCTCCACCTGAGGATATGTTTTTATTAATTTTTGTGTAACAGAGGAATAGAGAGAGAGAGAAAGAGAAAGAGAGAGAGATCATTTAGAAAGAAAAACATTGATTAGTTACTTCCCAACTGGGGATCGAACCACAACCTTTTGGTGTGTGGGATGATGCTCCAAACAACTGAACCTGGCCAGGGCCATGAACATATTTTTAATGCTTCTTGTTTCTTGATAAATGTACTTAAAGTATAAATTTACTTCTAAATGTTGCTTTAGATTTGTCCCAAATTTTGCTGAATAATTAAAATCTTTAGATTTTGAAATTATTGTTAGGTCACAGGAACTTACAAAAATCATATATAGAGTTCCTTAAACCCTTTCTCCTCTTCCCCATAGGGATATCTTATATAACTGTAGTTTATAAGAAGGAAATTAACATTGGTACAATATTATTAACTAGACTATAGATCTTAATTCAGTTTTCACCAGGTTTTACATGCACTTTGTGTGTGTGTGTGTGTGTGCGTGTGTGTGCGTGCGTGTGTGTGTGCGCGTGTGTGTGTGTGTATGTTCAATGTTATTCAATTCTAAATACTTTTAAATTTCTTTTGGGAACCAAGGATTATTTAGTAATATGTCAATTAATTTCCACACATGCATTTGTCGTTCTCATTTCATTGTCCCTGGAGAATAGTGGTATTTGAATAAGCCAGTATCCTCTGCTCAATGCCCTGTCTAATGGGAAGGACCTAAGCAGGGGAGTGAGAAGCTAATGTGGTGGGTCCAGGTTAAGCTGGAGGGGAGACTATGAAAATGAGATCGGTGTCCCTGAAGGTCTCAGGAACCTATGTCATAGAAAACAATAATCAATTTTTGCTCTAGAAACAGTGACTCAGCTTGAGACCTAGATTGAAATTGGCTCCAGACTGACCACTAGCATCCAGGACCTTGACATAGGACCATGGGACTTCAGCATTTGAGACCTGTGCAGCTGCTCTGCCTCGTAGGGGCCATCTCCACTCTGCCTTGTATGTCCTGTGGTACTGGATGCTTTGGGACCCCCGGAGGGAGGGGACTGGATATCTGTGTTCCTCAGGGGACAGAATCTGTGTAGGCTGAGCTCTTGGTTGGCAGTTCAGGGGCGGTGTAGGTATTGTGAGGGACAGATAACTGGAAGATCATTCTCTGTTTAGGGGCTGGGGCTCTTTTGTGCTATGAAGCAACGTCCTCACTCTTCAGAGCTGTTAGTTTCCAGAACTGGAAATGGTTACTGATGAGGAGCATGGTGTGTAAGCTGAGTGAGGGCTGCGAGGAGACGCTGGTGCTCATCAAGACAGGTGAAAGAAGAAGCTTTTATTTTTTTGGTGGTTCTTCTGACTTCTAGCTTCATTCCCAGCACCCAGGGACTCCAGACTGAAGTTCCAGATATTTACCACATTATATCTTTGGGAATAACCTCAAGACACTGGCAGGCAAGGGGCAGGACTCAGCTGGTTATGGTGTGAGCTGGGTAAGAGGTGGGCAATTCCAGGAGGAGCAGGGCAATCTGAGAACTAAGAAAAGAATGAGACACAAGGAGAAAGGAGTAGAGGGACTTTTGTGGGAAGAAAGTGAAAAAAAAAATAGACGGTGACCCCAACATCTGAGTCCTGTGAGTGGACACTGAAGGAGAGGCAAAGCTGTTCCTGGGGCAGAGCGAGTAGGAAGAACAGAGTGGAGGGGAGGGTGGGAGGGTTGGACTCTGGGTGTGGCCAACAACACTGACCAGAGCTCTCTAATCTCTGCTCCTCAGGGAACAGAAAGGGAGTTGTGGGTTTCAAAGGCTGCAGTCCATCCTCATCTTACCCCCAGCAAGTCTCCTACCTCGTTTCACCGCCTGGATTGTCCATTGCCTCCTATAGCCGTGTTTGCCGGACATATCTCTGCAATAACCTCACTAATTTGGATCCTTTTATGAAACTCAAGGAAACTCCTAAGCCTACAACATTTTCTTCCCTTAGTTGCCCAACCTGTGTCGGGGAGCATTCTAATGATTGCCTCCCCAATTTTGTTACCACCGATTCTTGCCCCCACAATGCACCCACGTGTTACAGTTCCACCATAAAATTTCAGGCAGGTGAGAAGAGAGAAACTTTATCAAATGCCTTCTCTATACCAAGTGCCGTCTGGCACTTTCCTATCTGAGAGGGGCTGGTGGGATCTGGAGAGGAGATTGGGGTTGAGGGCATCAGGCACATAAAATCCAAGGAGGAAGGTGCTTTGTGCCCAAGTTTGGTGGGAGAACAGGAGGGGCAGAAGCATCTGAGACTTGAAAGTGTCACTGACTCCTCCCTCTCTTCCTTGCAGGGCTTCTCAATACCACCTTCCTCCTCATGGGCTGTGCTCGTGAATATAGTAAACTTCTAGCAGATTTTCAGTATATTGGGACCATCAGAGTGACTGAGGCCCTCAACATCTTACAGAAGTCCCAGGTTGCTGGTGCAGAGTCCTCCAGTCGGGGTCCTGCTTGGGGCATCCTCTCAGGCCTCCTGCTTGCCTTTAGGGACTATTTAACTGGACCAGACAAACACCCAGACCCTTTCACATAACCAAATAAAGTCAGAGAGTTGCCTTTTTGCTTTGTCCTGTGGTCCATGAGGGTTATGGAGGTGTGTAAGATGTGTGGAGGGCCAAACAGGGAGGTGGAGAGCTGGGCAGGCAGTGGGCAGTGCTCACAGTGAAGTGAGCAGGAGCAGGGGGTGGAGGGAGGAGGGTTACCAGCAAAGTGACTGTCATGCTCAGGAACTGGGAGGAACCTAAATACTCTTTTTCTCCTCCTACTTTCTGTGGGGACTTGAGTGCTAGCCTGGGTTCAGCCACTGACTGAGAAACCCTGGCCAAATCTTCTTCTTTCCTGGTCCTCAGTTTCCTCCCCTTTAAAATAAATTAGAATTAGAGCTGAGTCTCATAAGGGTGATTTAAGAACATGATCCCTATTGTCTATTTGTTATGTGTCCCTTGTAGTGCTAGTATTAGGATCTCATTTAAATCCTCACAAGACCCCAGTGAGATAGCTTTTATCCTTATTTTACAAGGAAGAAACATTCTTGGAGGTTAAGTTAGTTGTCCAGAGTAGAATCCCTTTTGCTTCCCCTTTTCCTGTTGACCTTTCTTCCTGTTGAGGAAATTTTGAGAAATTTGGAGACCTGAGCTGCTTTCCTCTGCACAGTAGTAGTTTCTTTTTTACATAAGTCTAGAAACTTTATTCTGATTTAAAAAATATATACACATTTTATTTATATTAACACATGCTCTTAGTATAATAAAGGCTCTAGTTTTACAGATTGGCTCATAAGAGAATTATGAATGTCTTAAAAATAAAATCTATACATAGTATAGCTTATTGAGTTACAAGAGATGAATTTTTATTATAAGTCTTTGGAAACACCAAAATAATGAAGACATCATAATTCCAATTTCCTGTGTTCTGGGAATTAATGTTTCTTCTATGCTCAGATTCCACCATCCCCTACCTCTAGAAACTGAAGAAGGCAAGGGATAAAAGTAAAAAATAAAATAAAAAATAAAATAAAACCCTAATATACAAATAGACCAAAGGGCAGAACAACTGAACAACTGGACAACTGGTCGCTATAATGTGTGCTAACCATCAGGGGGTGCACACAGAACATGGTGGCATTGGCCATAGTGGGATGGTGGAGCAGGTGAGCGGGGATGCCAGACCATGGCGCCAGTTGCAGTCATTGGGGCAAGCCTCTGGTGCTTACTGAAATTTCTTTGCTCCCACATGGTACAGTCCCACCAGGTGCTTGCACCTTCTGCTGATGCCTGGCATTGGTTCCAATCGTTCAGTGCCATCAGTGTCAGCGGGTGTGAGTGGTGGCTGCCAGCGATGATTACCCCTGAGGGCTTCTCCACCTTCTCCCTGTTCCTGAGGGGTGATTGGGGCAGCAGCCATTGCTCACACTCACTACTGGCACTGGCCCCAATCACTGCACTGTCAGTGGGTACGAGCAGGGCTGGTGCTATCAGTATGTGGGAGTTGTGACAGCGGGAGCAGAGCGGGGCTGCTGGCAGACAGGGGACCAGGGGCAGAGGTGGAGGGGCAGGGTAGGGGTGCAAAGGATGGGCCGAGACTCATCCCGACGCCCAGTGCAGCCTTGTGGCCCACAGTTCCTTTCAAGGTGCACAAATTCGTGCACTGGGCTCCTAGTAAAAAAAAAATAAAACAGAGGAAGATACATCAGACAAATAATTACACAATACAGGTTTTAATGGAAGTCTGGTCAATTTCCTAATCTTTCCTGAGTTCTGTTCATTTGTCCATAGCTGTAGCACCTGCTCAATAAAAAAGACACTGGGTTTTTAACAACACATTTAAGGATGCTAGTGTAAAACTTTTATCTCTATGAAAGGGAATTACTCAAATCTAAAAGCTTTTAAAAATATTTTTATTTATCTCAGAGAGGAAGAGAGAGGGAGAGAGAGAGAAACATCAGTGGTGAGAGAGAATCATTGATTGACTTCCTCCTGCACACCCCACACTGGAGATTAAGCCTACAATCCAGGCATGCACCCTTGGCAGGAATTGAATCTGGGTTCCTTCAGTCCACAGTCTGATGCTCTATCTACCTAGCCAAACGGACTAGGGCCCTAAAAACTTTTTATTTTTTAAACCGGGAAATGATTTCAGGCATAGAAATCTACAATTTCAAATATATCAACCTCAATGAACACAGTGAAATGAGAAGATTTTTTAACATTTACCTCTTTAATACTGTAGAAGTTTCTATTACACATAACTGCAGAACACTAAATTCTCACAATTATTTTTGCTGATTCTTGTGTCAAATGTCAATAGTTAACCATGAATTATCAATAAAATTAATATTTCATACAAAAGTATCACCTATGATAAATTACCTTTTCTAGTATGAAATTAATTTCCTTAAAAAATAGGCACCATGTACTAAAAACAGCACTGTGCCAAGAAGTATTTCTGCATACACATTTCTAATACAGACTAGCTGTAAGCAAGAGAAAATAACCATGTAACAACAAGGCAGATTATATTCTTCCATTAACTGCCCTATGAAAAATTATCTTTAAAGGAAATTTGGGGAGGGTTATCGTTTTATTTTATTGACAGCTATTAAGTGATTTATTTCTAATGTTCGGAAGTCCCAATTTAGTCAGCATGGAAAGCTTGGGTAATCAGAAAAGGCTTTATATTTAACAGTAATTCCATGAAATTCTATACTTTATATTACAAAATAACCAGTTAATACATATACTATAGAACTGTGCTATTCAGTATAGGCCACTGGCCTCATGTGGATAATGAGCACTTAAATGTGGCAAGTCCACATTAGTGAAATACACACCAGATTTTAAGGAATTCATATAAAAGAAGAATATAAAATATCTTAATGATTTTAATATTGATTGCATGTTGAAATGATAATATTTTGGGTCTATTTAATTAAATGAACTATATTAATAAAATCAATTCAGGTGTTTATTTTTATAATATTGCTGCTAGAAAATTTAAAACGACACATGGCTTCACGTTATTTTTCTATTCTTCAGCAATGCTATAGAAATATCAGACTCATTAATCCCAATCAACATCCTTAAGTTTCAGCATTACAGTACAGAGATAAGATATTTTAAATCATTAATACAAGGTTCCTGAGCTTAGATTGAAATACAACTCTATCTTAAAAACAAAACAAAATCCTACTCTGTAATCTTTTTCATCACCTTCTGTATACTGGCAACTGTGCAAAACTTTGGTTAGTTATGTCTGCAAACAGGCAAAGGGGTCTTTTTGGGAGATGAAAATGTTCTAAAACTGGATTGTGGTGATAGCTTCATAACTATAAATGTATTAAACTATCACTGGACTGTAGACCTACAATCTGCAAATTGTATAGCATGTAAATTACACCTTGATAAAGCTATTTGTTTTTAAGTGTACAGCTAGAGCCCAGCAGATCTGAAGTGCCATTTAGAAACTGCATATAAATTTCAGGTAATTCAAATATAATTTTTCAATCCATAGGACTCAGTATTGCAATAAATTTTTTCCCAGGAGTATCTTTTTACTTGCAGTTGGTCCACAGTAAACAGTGGGTTATGTAATCACTAACTGAAGGTATAAGTGGAAAAGGACAAAGGACACAGACTCCATTAGAGTAATTGAGAATAGACAGTTCATTTGTGTTAGGGGCACCCAGATCAGGCAGTCATAGCCCTTACCTACAACATTGCTCCAAATCATTTACCCAATCTGGGCACCTTATAATCTGTTGGTAGTTCTCTATCTTAGAATACTTAAATATAAGAAACTTCCTACTCTACACTAATAAAACCAAATAAAAATACATAAAGTCAAAACTAACATTTAAAAAACAAAAAACAAAAAACAAAAACCTAACATTTAACAAATTTCCATGGGATACTAAAAACTAAACTATTGAGTTTTTTCCCCCTATTACAAGAAAAAGAAAAAAAGTGGGAGAAAAGTCCAGCAACTTAAAGTTATAATCAAGTTAGAAAAAATAATAAGCATCAAGTAAAAAAATAGGATCATTTACACATTGTTTCTATCAGATCTTGAAACAAATTATTTTCAATCTAAAATCTGTGAGATATTCACCATGGATATATCGTTCTACAACCTTTTATTTATTTACTAGGGGCCTAGTGTACTGGTAGGGTCCCTAGTGGCTGCCAGCTGCTGGCCAAGGACTCCCTTCCCCCAGCTGCCTGCTGCCACCGCTGGCCAGGGCCTCCCTTCCCATGTGCCTTGGTCTGGTGCTGCCCACTTACTTGCTCCACCATCCTGCCTGGTCCTGCTCTTGTTGCGGCCCATCAGGGTGGGCACAGACTCCACTGCCTCCTGCTGCTAGCATTGCATTGCTGCTGCCTGCCAGGTTCTGTGCTGCCCCCTGGTGGTCAGTACATGTCTAACTCCTGGTAGATCAAATTCCTGCAGTGGAAACAATTTGCATATAGCCTTTTATTATATGGGAGTAGAGGCCAGATGCACAAAAATTCATGCAAGATGGGCTTCCTTCCTCTGCAGGCACCAGCTTCCCTCTGGCACTTGGGACCCAGGCTTTCCTCCTCCAGCCACTGACAGGCACCCGGGACCTGGTCTAGCTTCCCCTGGTCTACCGGCAGACACCCGGGACCCAGGCTGCCCTCCCTCCGCCTCAAGTTTGTCAAGAAGAATGTCCAGTCTAATTAGCATATTACCCTTTTATTATTATAATTTTTTTTTTTAGCATTATTGTTAATAGCAAAAAAATAAGGACAAAAACCAGTTCAACTTTTTTCACTTTATCAAAATGGGTCTGAGGATCTATGACTTATGATTCCTTTACACTTGGGAAAACACAGAAAAGTAAAACACAGATCAAACCTTCATATACTTGAACTACCATATGCTCTTGTGCTTTTTGTGATGTGCACGTGCGCATAAACACACACACACAAAATAAAATGATAATAATGCAGAAAGAGCTGGGACCGGTTTGGCTCAATGGATAGAGCGTCGGCTTGGGGACTGAAGGGTCCCGGG